TTCTAGCAGGCAGTGGTCACTGTCGCCCAGGGGGTCAAGCACCCGCAGCCCCCTCACCAGGTCGTCGCCCGTGGCCAACACCAAGTCCAACAAGGCATCCCCCCTGGTGGGGCTGTGCACCTCCTGGGTTAGATGAAGGTCCTGGACTCTCTCCAAGAACCTGCATGAGCGCTCAGACCTAGCTGACTGCTCTTCCCAGCAGATGCCTGGGAAGTTCAGGTCCCCCATGACTACCACATCCAAATGCTCAGCTAAGACTAGGACCGTTTGAAGTGCTAGTCCTAAACAAGTCCCTGATATGCCTTGATCTTTTAAGTCATAAAGATGGCATAATCAAATTTGGCCATGTCAATGACTTCAAAAAGAGAATGTCCCATATTTCTTCATTAAAAACACTGATTAGGAGCTCAGGGAGTCTGAAACCAGCTGGCCATCATCTTCAAGCAGGTTTAAGAGCAGGTTAAACAAACACTTGCATAGGATGGTTTAGAAAGGGATGAGCCTGCCTTGAGCAAGTGGTTGCACTCAATGACCACCTGAGTCCCCTTCCAACCCTACTTTTCTATGATTCTATGATTCATAATCTGAAGGAAAAGGAATCAACCAATAAAAAAAACCATGAAAACCCCGACTTCTAGCATTAATGCAGCACCACCTTGCATGACAATGAGGTCTCTGCTTCCTCCACACTCTTGTATGACCACCCAAAGCTAGGAGTCTATCAAAATGCAACACTTATGACTTAAACATGTAAGAAAGTAATCTCTAGCCATCCAGACAAATCTAGTCATAGCTTACTTAGCAGAGAAAATTATCAGCTAATCATTCCCAACCACATACTAACTGCCTGTAGTTGAATGAAATCAAAATGATACCAAATAGCCTATATCAACCCTGGTGTTTCATTTTTTTCCAGTTTGTATCAGTAGAGGAATTTCTCTATCTTAGCACCGGGAGTGTACTTGGTAGCTGTGTTGGTCTGAGACAAAAAGACATACAAAAAACTAGAACTCTCTGTTCCAAAATGATACCTTTTATTAGACCAACTGGAAAATGGCAAGAAAATTGTCCTTTTCTGCAAGCTTTCGGGAGCAAAGTCCGTTTGTCAGGCTCTGGGAAAAGTGTATATGGTACAAGATGGTAAAAAGTCCCCATAGGTAGGAAATAAACTTCATTTTTGCACACAGGGAGCTGAAGATAGAAGGTTGTTTTTTTGCCTCCCTGCCTGCCATCTGACACCTCTAGGGAGGGAATTCTATCTGATCAACACATCAAAGAGCTACTCAACACAGCTCAGGAAGACACTCTCATGGACCCAGAGGGACAGACTTTCCTCTGGCAAGGTAGGGTGTCAGTTGGTCAACTGGCCAGTAATTGATTGGTATCCAGCAGGCAATATTCCTTATCCAATGAGCCTCCTACAGATCTATTCTACCACATCAACATATGGCAGGCAAATCATCTCTCACAGGACAGCTTAAACATACCACAGTGAAATCTGCAGAAGCTGTTACAGGCAAAGCTAAGATATCAATATGTTCAGAGACAGAAATTCACTTGTGAAAAAAAATAGAAGAGGATCTTGGATCACAAGGAAATGGATTAGCATAAGAAATAATAACATGTGAATTGGGGGGATAAAATCATTTAAGAAAAATTGGGCAGGACTGAAAGTCAATAGTGATAAAATGATACTGAACTTCAGATGTGAAATTTCCATGAAATTTCTCTTTTCTGGTAAAATCAGGGTAGAATTGAGCAACTGTTAACAGCTATAAATCATTAAAAAAATTCCAGTGTGCATGTAATATTTTTAAATACATCATTCAGTGACTATCAGCATCCTGCTTTCAAAAGATAAATTTTCAGATCTCTGGCCTAAAGTGTTCCAATATAAAGAACTGCAGACATAGAAATCACAGCAATTTCTTCAGTCAGTATTTTTCTACCCTGTTCTTTTATATTCACTTTTGCGTACTTATGATAAATTCAGAATGCATTACTGGTGCGTCCCCTTGCTTCACCTCTCAGTCTTACAACATCTTGCACCCTTCAACTGTTCAACTAAGGTGCTTCTTAAACTTTTCTGTTTCCTCCCTAAATTCTTTATTGGAAAGGAATTTGTTCCTTTAAAAAGACCAAAGTCAAAGATTTAAAAACTTTGAAAAAAATCCTCTTAACTTAAGAAGCAATTAACTCAGTTTATAGAGCTCTTTCTTATAAAACTAGGCCAAATGCAGATTAGATCTTACTGCCATTAATGTCTACACAAAGACTTACAACACTGTAAACACATACACCTGTCTTGGATCTCCAATGCCTTTCACTTTGTGTACTCATCTGTGCTAGATGTAAAACAGTGCGACTTAGATCTATTTTGTACACAGGTATAAATGAATAAATAGACTATTAGGTCACGGAGAACTTTGTCCATTTTTGTCCACATGCTAGTGATTTTTTGGCTTATATCAGCCTGTAGAAAATTCAGTCAACTGAATGCGTGACTAATGTAGTGCTTCCTCCCTGCATGTAAGTGCTGCTTTGGTTCATCTACAAAATGGGGGTGGGGTGGTGGTGGGGTGAATATTCACTGTGAAAACAGGAGATATCCTGCAATTAGTACTTCCTATAAGGGAATGTAATTACAGCTGTTCATGGTGACAGTGCTGTAATCTTAGTTGCTGTTTTCAGTCCCCTGAACTATCCAGTGCTCTAAAATGTTTTAGTTAAGGAATTATAACAATATTACCAATTTTTTAGATATCCACGGTTTATATATTGTGTGAGAAGCCCCGAGAATGCAGCACATCAATCAGGTCAGAAAGTCGCTCAACTGCTACAACACTAGTTTAAAGGAATTTTGCAAACAGGTTCCACCAGCCGCCTGTCTTTCTCTTGTGGAGTGGGCTCTAGCTGCATGCACACACACCACCCAAGGATGCGTCTCCATGAAATTACCTTCACACTCTAACCTTTTTTTCCTTTTTTCAATTGTGTATCCCTACCCTCAGCTTTCCCTTCTCTTCCCAGCAGGGATCTTTAGCTCTGCAAACATCTTTTCTCTGTGGCCTTCCTTTGCTGTTTTTATAGTCCCTTCTCTTCTCCACTACTATACAGTTCCCATTTTATCTCAATAGCTCCTTCAATTTGAAAAAAAAAAAGAATATTTACACTGCCTAGAAATCAAGATCATATAGCTACTGCAGCTGCTCAAAAGTTTTCTGTCAAATGACATTTGCTAGATCTCAGCACTGAAGTTTGGGGTTTCATACAAAAAACTTTCACTGAGTTTCTATGGCCTGGCTTATGCAGAAGTACAGCCTAGACAACAATAATACCACTTCTGGTCTTAAGTCCACTAGCCTATACTTGTGTATAGTTAGTAAACATGGTTATTTGAAACCCAACTGTGTTCACCTGGTTTCTGCTGAGTAGTATGCTATACGTTTTTTTTAATGCAAAAAATACAACACTTCAGGAAATATGTCTGGATCTTTAATGGTGTTACCATAGCATAAACAACAATTACACACACACTTATTCTGTCCCTTTCCTCTCTCTCTTTCTCCACTAACAGAACATTTTTAAGTTTCTAAAGTCAAGCACTCAAAAGTTGGAAAAAGCCAAAATTTTAAGTTTTCTGTACAATGATAATTCATTCCCCGCCCTGTGAGTAGAGCTATCATGACACAGCCTTTACATGAACACTTTTTCTTCCACAGGACCTCTACCCTATTCAGTGCATATGATCTGTGGTGCTTACATGCGAGAGTAGCTCCTTAATATTCAGTTTTATCCTTATTGTTCAATGTATGTCCCCTGGCCTTATTCACCGTAAACTTTTCAAACCCAGCCAGGAAGGCAATTAACTTGTTTATGGGCTTTTCTCCGGCACTCACCACTCCAGTGTCCAGGTGCTTCACAAACGTTAATCTATCTTCATTTCTCCCCTCTGAGATGATGGGGAATTACAATGCCCATCTCTAAAATGAGAGAAATTACAGCTTTGTCTCCTAAATCACCAAGTACTTTGGCAGGTTTCCCTCACTCTCTGCTGTGCTAGTGCACAAATGAGATCTTCAGACGCTGCACTCATCCCCTTTCTGTCTGATGGGCTTTCTGTGTGAATCAAGGAATACCCTTGTATACTTTCCTCCCTCTCTGGGATCTTGAGAAAACATTTTTGCATGCATGTATGCTGATGTATGCACATCACCGCTGTGAAAGAAAAAAATATGGAGAGAAAATATAATTGTAGAGTTACTTCCATGTGGCCTGGGATGAGGCTATTGTGTTTTTGTTTTTGGCATTTGTTAACATCTTTTGGAAATGCAGTAGAAAACTAACTGTCACAGAAAGCTTTTAAATGCAGACAGTGAAGAAAAAGGCAGGAAGGAGAGAAAAAACAGCTAGTTTTGCTCACCGCCACAAACCAAATAGTTGACACACTGGCTCTGGAAACTTGTGTAGATCACATCCTACCAGCCAAGTCACTCAGAAAGTGTTTATCAGGTGCATGACCTCAGGTGGAAGTAAGCATTGTGGAACAGCAAAGAGAGCAATGCTTCCCTGAGCTAGCCAGAGCACAGCTACACTCTTGGGTGGTCAATATGTGCTGCTCAGATGATAAAACACATCTGCTGAGCTGATCACTTAACAGGGATAGCTAACTGATTCATTTGAAACCCCCCTTGCCCTTCCACTAAACTGTTATTAATTGGGATTTTATATATAGCTATACTTTTGTGCAAGCACATATCAATCAGGAACCTTTAGGTTGATATCCTAGTCTTTTACACAGCACCTGCAGACTCCAACCCAGCCTGCCTTTCTTTGCACCTGTTTTGTTTGTGTTCAGAAGTTCCCTTCTTAAAAATTATTTCTCTGCTGGGGCAATACGAATACCAAACCATGTGCTGTGTCTAGAAATTGAACAAGAAAGACAGAGAAATTCCAATATTGCCAAGAATAACCAGGAAAAAGGAACCAACAGGACTACATAAGGAAGTGATCAAGGGTCCAGTCTGGAAGCTTGAAACAGGCAGAACCAAAGCCAAGATTTGACATAAGATATCTTACAACATCTGAAATGAAACAGGTATAAAAGTATAATGTGCTAAAGGAATATATTTTAATAGGAGAAGCATGAGGAAGAGCCTTTATACATGGCAACAAGCAGGGTGGGGTGGATGGAGAACAACAAACACAAGGGTCAGGCAGCAAGTGCCTGGCAGTTCAAAGACAGCTGAAAACATTATACAGCAAAGCAACTGAAAGTTTTGCTCTGTCCACCAACCTCTGAGAAATTATTGCAATGAGGGGTCAATGCACTTCCTTCCTTTATTTTCAACAGATACACAAGCCAGAGCCATACACAGTCAGGACAAGGATGTGGAGTGAATTGCCAAAAGCTGTGCAGCAGTCTGAGCCAGAATCGCTTGTGCTAGAACTGCTTCAGAGTTGTTTAAATTATAGCACGCTTAATATATTTACACGCTATTGACAGATATCTAACAATTCTTTGGAGGATGCAAGGGATAAAGAGAACATGCCTTCCTTCAGGGAAGAATAAAGCTGATATATTTGTGATGCTTTTGCACAATAAGACAATTGACATTTTACAAACGTAAGAGTCCTGATAAGCAGAAACACACCCTACTTTGTTGTGGCATCTGTCATATCAGTTAATTTACCATTGCCTGAAGATGTTTGAAAACTGCAAAATACATGCGCTAGACAAATCCAGTCAGAGTTATTAGGTTTGTGCGTCATGGGAGCATGCCAAAAACATTCCACCAGATCACTAAAGGGAAAACAAAAATCAAGCTGGACGTTGATTAGCATTTATTCATCCTTTATTTCACAAATCAGGATTAGGACTTTAATGTAAAGAACACAACGTAATCAAAAGCATAAATTTTCTGCTACAAATCACTATGGTACTGCATGTTCTAATGTTAACTGTGCTGCATTATATCATTACTATTTAATACTGCTCTGTGTTTAAGAAACAAACAAGTCTGAACTTAATCTTCAGCCTTGATGTTATAATGAAATTTAGCAGAACTTCAAAATTAACCATTTCTGATGGGGGAAGTGGAAGGAAATTTTTGTTCTCCTGGGGAAGGTGGGAGTTTTGGGGATGCAACCCCACCACACACCTTACTCTAGGCAGCTAAGAAGCACTAAGGTATTCTAAACAGA